GCACTTCTCAGTGTGAAGGCCTTCATTTTGCATTTTGTGGGATGCAGGAGCAGCAACCTGCACTGCAGGGGTGTCCCCACCAGGGTGGGCAGACTTTTTTAAGTCCCTAAAGCAGATGAAAATCCCCCCTCCCTTTCTCTTCCTGCTCAGAGGCACACCTGCTCCCCTCCTCATTCCCTACCCCTCAAATCCCCTGCCTATAGCTGCTTTCTCCACTTCGTGGGCAGGGAAGTTCCAGAGTCAGCAGGGCTGAGCTGGGGAGGGGACAACAGCAACAGCATGGCAGTATGGCAGTGGTTCCCCCCACCCTGCCTGGAGCAAGTGCAAAGAAGGGGAACTCCTGTCCATCCCTGCTGCCACTGTTCCCATCTGCAACTGAGCCCAGCCCTGTTGCAGTGAGCAGAAACAGCTCTGGTGCTTCCCTGCCCTCCCATACCGAGGACAGCAGGGAAAGTCTGACGGAGGAAGGGGGCGAAGGGGCAGAGAGGGGATGTTACTTTGAGCAGGAAGGGGAAGGGAGGGAGGATCTTCATATATTTTATGAGGCTTCCGTGGTACAGTGCAATCCAAAAAGGGGATGCAGCCATGCCACCACTCCCCCTGCTTGCTACACAGCGTCTGAAAAAGGTGAGTATTGCTTACAAAAGCTTGTGCCTCTCTGAACCAGTTGGACCCTGAAATGTCACCCTGCCCTGCCTTGGTGGCTACAAAGTTATGCATATGCATGGTCTCTGGCTATTTCTACAGGGCCTTTGACCATTTTATCTGCACTGCACTCTGTAGCAGGAACTGATTAGAATCTTAAGCAAGTGCTCAACTGCAATTAAAATGAGATGAGTTAAACTTCACAGTTAGTGGCATATGCAGGATGGGGTTTTGCAAGGGCTAAATTACCTTGCGGAGAAGAAGGCCACAAGTTTGAATTTGGTTTTTATTTGGCAGCCAAGGAGACAGGCATAAACTGACTTGCTCATTTCAATCTGGTTTCTAGCAGCTATTATATAATAGCACCTTGGTTTTGAAGCCATAGATTGAATGGGTAAGTAAGAACGGTACAACCTAATATCTGAACCTGGCAGTGACATCCTGTAGCTCCTTAGTTTTCATCCCTACTCTGATATTTGTTCTATGTCCTTGGCATTACACTTAAAATAATAATGTTCATTGAATTTGCTCATTTTCTTAAGTACTTCTAAGCATCATATGATCTGAACTCTGGTTAAACTAAACAAATTAAAACAAAAACTATAGAAACTATAGTGCAGACAAGAAATAAAGCTCACCTTTTTAACAGTGATGGTAATTATGCACTAGAATAAATTATTTAGGGATATAGTGACTTTGCCATCATTTTAAGTCTTTATCTACATCTTTGGAGAATGTTCTCTTGTCCTGTTTTACGAGTGAGTCTACCCAGTACTTGTCTCCATAGGCTGTGGAACAGGGTGGCCCACCCAGGCCATGGCCTGACCAACTTTTGGCACATTAATTTAGCTAGCTATGCAGTTCAAAATAGCTATACAGTTTTAACCAGAATGACAATTGCGCATTTGAGGGTTTTATAAATGAACGTGTTAGAAGTTGGTCGGGCCATGGCCCGGGTGGGCCACCCCATTCCGCGGTCTATGCTTGTCTCTCCTTGGCTACTTCTCATTGCAGCAAGAGCATGTAAACAGGGAGGGACCATTCATGTTGTCCCATGTAGCTGAGGGTGAGTCCTCATCTTTGCCCAAAACAGAGCTGTAGACATAGCCTCAGTATCCCTTCTGTAGCTGTACAATAAGGACATTAGTATGATTGGCTTACCTCACATGGGCGTTGTGAGGATTATTTCATTAATGTCTGTAAAAGGCTAATTATTGCTATTACTATTTACTATGGTCTTGCCAGGTTAAGGCTCAGTCACACTGGTGGGGCAGTCTGAGGAAGCTTGTACTGCCAGTGTTGTACGTGCACTTCCGGATGCAGATAGAGCTTAAGACTTCAGAGCTGTTCATCCAGCACCTCTCAACAACATTACAGTAATTTAAAATAAAAGAGCCTTTTGGCTACTTAAGGAGGGTCCCTAGGATGATTGGTTGGTAGGATACACAGGGCAGAGTATCACAAATACAACCTCATCCTGGCAGGCTTCAGCCAACTGTCATCGGAAGACTTTAAGCCCCATCTGGAATCGTGCCCAGTGGAACTCCTCTACAAGGGGCATGTGTGAAGAAATACTTGAGCAGCTGTGTCTGAGGCTAATTGTGGTTTCTTGATGGAGCTATGAGGAAGACCCATACAGAGGGAATTAAAAGCATCAACCTGGCAAATTATGAAAGTAAGGATTAAAGTTCAGAGGTTTGTGAGAGACTAAAATGCCCTCAGCTCTTTTTGGCAGGTGATGAAAGGCAGATTTAGTGACAGCTGCCAGATGGGAATCTACAAAAGGACAACTGTGATTCCATATCGATCTCAAGCTCTGAATTTTCAAGCGCAACATGGTGGGGCAAGTGGGAGTGTGACTCACATAGCACATCAGGCCAGCTAGGACCACATCAGCTTTACTAGATTTGAGCCAGAAGCAATTCTGAAACATTGCACCCTGATATAAAAACAGCATGGAGGCTACACTTTTGCCCTTTCCCTTACCACTCCTGTGAAGAAGTGCTGCTCAATCTGGGTACAGACAGAAGAGCAGCTCCCTGGTGCAACTCACAGCGCTTTGCAGGAAGTGCTATGAGTTGCATCAATCTCCCCAACCCGACAGAAATTCACTGTTGGATCTGGGAGTTGGGGATTCGAGCTGTTTGCTGCCAGCCTGCAGCCCAGTCTCCATAGCAATGCTACTCCTCCCACCCAGCCCCATACTGTTTTCAGAATGGGAGGTGGGAAAGAGAGCAGAAAAAGTGCATTCTTGGAGCTCCCAAGCCAGGGCTGGAGGGTGAGGTGGGTGAATTGGAGCCTCTCCACTTCAGGGGGCTCCAATCCACCCACCCCACCCTCCAGTACTGGCTGAAAAAACCTAGACCACACTCCCTTTGCTCCCTTTCCCCCTCCCATTCTGAAAACTGCGACAGGTTGAGAGTTGTTCAGACACAAGTTACAGAATAGGCTCCATTTTCGAGCCTGTTCATTTGTACCCTCATGCAATGAGGGTTCAGATTTTCGTGGGATTGGGCCTTTTAAAGTTATCTGCAGCAATGCATGGCTGTAGACCACTTTCTGGAGCCAGATCAGGTGAACATTGTCAGTTCCATCTGCACCCTCTATATGTTGGCACAAAACAGTGGAATCCCAAAATAACTGAAAGCCACTGAAGGAGAAAAGGGATAAACTTGGTAATGACTGAACCTCTTGGTCTTTCAATGTGCCTGCAGTGGTCAAGGACCCAATGATTTACTGCATGAAGCACTACTGTCAACTTACAGATAGATAAACTTGGAATTTCCATTCTGTGAGAAATCCCAACATCTCAGAATCACCCTTTGTCCTGATTCAGAGCAAAAATGTCGATATTTTGTCATTTCCCACAGAAGCAATTTTCTTTAAAAATGTGTTCCTGAATGGTTGTTCATTTAAATGTTATTATGTGCTATATTACAATAACAAGTAAGTAACATTGACGTGAAACTATGATTTTCATGGAAAAAAGTGTGTCAATTTCATACAAACAAAACGCTGAAAATTTTCCACTAAAAATTTAGACAAAAAAATCAGTATATTTCCATTAAATGTTTCAATTTCATTGCATCAGCGTCTTCTGATTGTTCAGAAACCCTTTTTGACCCGTTCGAGTCACAACTAATAATACGCGATAGACTAAGATGATCCCACCTATTTCAACTTATTTGCAGTCTTATTGAAGAATGTCCTTGTGCTTTGTCTATGTATAAAACAAAGAAGGAATTTTCATGCAAGCAAAGGTAGCTGAGATACATTATTACCCCTTTTGCTATAACCTTACTCACAAACCAGCCAGGTCTGAAATGAGATTAGTCTGTCCAAGTGAGTAGAGAATAGGGAATGCAAACAGTGCATCTAAACACACACATTCCCCATTCTCCAAGGGCAAATTAATTACCCTGGCCAATATTTGACCCGTGATTAAAAACCTTTGAGTAAGCAACTCTGCTGACTATGAGACCATTTGAAAGAGGTCAGGGGTGCATCTGCTTTACCACTTCAGCTAAATCTGTTTTGGAAATCAACGCCAGAGGATGATAATTAATCTGTGTGGCAATAAGACCTCTTTGGGGGTTTGTCAGTGTACAGAAACATGAAGGAAACTTTCCTGGGACTGAAAATCTTTTAAGAAATAAACATGTTTACCACTGAATGGGTTTTTAGTGCCCTAGTTTTGGGGGGCTGCTGACACCATTTAAAGCCACTGACTTTAAGCCAGCTTCAGCTCTGCGAGCAATCACAGATGGAATTGCACTGACACTTTGTCTGCAAGATATAAACCTGATATATTGTGATGAAGTCTGAGATTTGAGTTGCTAGGGATAAATAGAGATATGGCAAATTAACCAAACTTAATTCAGATGGTTGTCAAACAATGGTTCCACCTGTTTTGCTGCTGTCTAGCCATCTGCCACCCTTCTACCTGCTGCAAAAGAAGCTTTTCCATTTTCAGCCTTTGTGATGTATTTTCTTATGTCATATGTTGTCAACTCACATCTCATCATTTCTAAGGTAGAAAATAACAATATGCAGTCTGAGCTAACCTAATGAAAGGAGCCTATAACAATTAGAGAGTTTCCCTTGCCATGTCAGAAGTCACTAAAGAGCCACAAAGTACTTTTTTGATTACCACTTCACACTGTGCAAGGGCAAATAGTTTCATACCTACATCTTACTAAATGATTCTTAAATAAAAGAATCTATGTACAGCATACAGAACAAATACCAACTTTGCTCACTTTCATTAACTCTGTTTTGAAAAATTAAGTGGCCATTTAGAAGGAACAGAGAAAAAGGCTAAGATAATAAGGCATATTAAACAACATTGCCAAGAGTTTTTAATAGATTTTTCAGGGCTAGATTCTCAGTTGTTATCAATCGGTGTAGTCTGCTGAAATCCACAGGGCTCTGCTTGCTTACACCAGCTAAGGATCTTTCCCTTTGTCTCTGCAAAGGTTCTTGAGCATAATCACACAGCAAATACAGGTTGTCTAGAAAAGGGAGGATTGCTCCTTCTTGCAACAGCTGAGAAAGCATGATCTTTGACACAGTTCTGATTATAACAAACCCTCCCCTGTAGCTCTTTCAGAGTGAAGTGGAACATATGGCAGCAAAAGTCAGAGAGACACAGAAGGCAAATGACTCTGCTTACACATCCTTTGAGGTGATCTGCAGAATTTGAAAACACAGTTTAGCACAATGTGGGAAGCCAGCACTGTTACCAAAGGGAAGAATAAATCATAATGCCTGGCCAAATACTAGGCTGGAAGGTGCAGGCTGTGTAAGCTAAAGAGGATGAATTGTTTTCTCCAGGAAATTAAGTTTTACATAGATCAGTATCAGACAGAACAGTGTGCTCAAGCTCAGCTCCTGGCTCATAGGCAGCTAGGTATGGGAATAGAAAAGGTAAGATTTGTTCTGTTGCAGAGGGTGATGAGGAGTCTTTCTTGCACAAATGCCCCTACCCATCATCTGCTGGCCATCACAGAGAATTTCAGTAGAAAGCATATGCTTTAACCACCCCTCACTAAATCAGCCCCAAAATGAAGCCCAGGCTACTGGGGGGTTGAAGGAGGTTGCAGCACATGCATTCTCTGGCCATGCCCCAGTTTCAGACATTTTGATCAGACTTTGCACATACCATAGAACTTGATAAAAAGTCATGCTCCAATTCGTAGCTGATGTAGATCAGTGCTGCTCCATTGATTTCACAATACTGTCTTCTAGGAAATATACCCAAACCTGCAAAATAGCAGGAAAAGTATTTGTTAAAACTATTATCCCAAGCTACTAAAAGTGATAGGAAAATGATCATTTGGCTAAAAAGGACACGAGAAACAGAGGAGATGGAACAGATCACTTGCCAGTTCTGAGACTAGTTCTGGGCATTGCACTTCAGCTAACACAAGGGAAACAAAGACAAACAGGAATGTCCCAGGGCTAGAGCTACTCTGTACTGCAACTGTAAAGGTTTCAGTCACTGAATAAGTTATACCCCCAAAGCAACCTGAATAAATGCTGCAAAAAATGCTTATGTACCTACCTGTGCATACAATTTTAGGCTAACCCTCACCTAGCTGCATATAGGAAGGAGGTACTAAATACTCATATATATATGTGTGTGTGTGTGTATATATATATATATATATACACACACATATATACATATATATCTCCAATGGCTACACACAACACCTGTACATATATTTGTGTAAAACAAAAGCCCTGTGTACTGGCCTGTTCTGCAATATTGTGCCAAACATTTATACATATACTTCACCTTTGGACTTACCTAGGAATAGTTCTACAACATGCACATGAGCAGCTAAATAAACAGGCTTAATATAGTCTCATTCAGAAGTGGCTTAAAGCCAAATTTGCCTCTTCCCTGTCCTGTTCCTCCCTTATAGCTCAGCCAGGACAGAGACTGAGGATGCAACCTTATATTTCTCCTCCTATAGGTATGTCTGTGCTGTAATGACTGCAGCTGGTGTAGCTGTATCTGAGCATCCTTTATTCTAGCTAGCTCAGGTACTATTAAGGGCAGAGAGAGATGGTAGGCTGGAGCTCAGCACAGGCTAAGCCCCCTAGTATTTACATAGCTTCTCTGGCAGGCTGACTGAGCTCTGTGCTAGTACAACTGTTCTGCTTGCTTGGGCATATGTACATGAGTTGCAGGTCTGTGGATGTAGTATAGACATCCTGTCCCTCAGACAAGCTAGTGGCAAAGTGCGTACAATCATAGGAAAGTAATTTTAATTGTATGAGCTAAAGAAACCAAATACATGGTATTTCTCATGGGAAGAGGGTCTCTGCTGCAAGATCCCACCTGAAAGGCTCACATGCAACAAGCTGCCTGGAATTGTTAGAGAATGGATGCCCTCTCACAGGCTTGGAGCCGTTGGCTGTGTAGGGCATCTGCGTTGCAAACCTAGGAGTCTGTCTCTGCTGAGTGGACATACCCTGAATCTTGGGCTTTTAGAACACACCCTCCACCAGCTATGAGCTAACGTGTCGCATGCAATTATTACAACATAGAGAAATAATTTTTGTGAAGGGCAAGGACCTGCAGGACAGAGTTCAGCAATGGCAAAAGATGATGCAATTAGCAAGCGTATGAATCTGGAAACATGTCTAAGTAAATGTCCCAGGTTCAAGAAACTTAGCTTCCTAAAAACAACCCAAGCTTACTCTAAAACTTGGTGACAAAGACTCCCATGTTCCTGAGAGGAGTATTATGAGGAGGATGTTTCCTAATCCCAGCACTTGGAAGCCCTGAAACTCAGAAGGCCTTGGATGCTGCGGGCCAACTTACATTGTGCAAGTCACGATATTTGATACCTGCTGCACACACCTCTCCACCCACCTTCTTCACTTCCTTCTTGGCACCTCACTAGCATAAGCAGCTGGAAGAGCTGCACAATTATCAATTGTAAAAGGCTTTTCTTAAAACAAATAAAGCTGAGCATTGGGGGGGTTTTACCAGCTACTTATTGAAAGCCACAGATAAAACTATTATGTTATGACAGTGTCTTTTGTTTTCATTGCTGTCAGCTTTCACGATCCTACTACGAATCTAGCTTTTGTCCAGCTGCTGGAGTCAGGTCTTGGGGTTTTCAATTAAAAAAAAAACCAAACAACAAATAAGCATCTGCTACTGAGGTTTGCTGAGAAAAATTGAAAACATGCTATGATTGTAGCCTGAAGTCAACAGCAGGGGTCAGCAACCCCCGGCACGCGTGCCAAGCATGGCACGCAAGGCCATTTTGCTCTGCACACCACTACCAGCCTGGGCTCTAAGCAGCTGCTGCCAGCCACCGAGCCCAGGCTGCTTCCAGCAGGGGGCTGGGAGGCTGCAAGCCCTGCTGCAAGCAGACCAGGCTCTGTGGGCTGGCTGAAGCTGGGAGGCTGCAAACAGCTGCTCCGGGTTCCAGCATGTTGGCACTCCGGCACCTTCCAAAGTGACATTGTGGTTTTTTCGGCGCTCCGGCCAAAAAATGTTGCCTACCATTGGTCTACAGTCTTGGAAACCAGAAGGCAGATAAAACAAACACACAATGATTACTTAAAAAAAATCATTAAAAGCACAACTCTTGAATGCGTGGGGTTGCAATACTACACTTACACCATTCTGATCCAGAAGGAAATTCAGAATCACTGAGACAAAGACTGTCCTCCATGACATAAGCATAAGCCTAGAGTGACTCCAGTTACTCCTGTACTAGGCATATCTGTGATTAAACACCCTACAGATCTCCCCAGTTTCGCAATGAAATGCAGCTGTCCTGCATTTCACTGTCTTTCCTTTCAGGCACAAATTCCCACTTGTCCCACCCAACACTGCAAGGTCACTTTTTATCTTAGTAAATTATTGACACAAGGAATTCTGACTTAGGCAACATAAATGATAGAAATGTTATACCTGTGCTGAAGCAGGGGCACCCAAATGTATATCACAGAGATACACTGGCAATTGACAGTGGGCCAAGGACTGGTTCTAACTTGTGTGTCGAGCTTAAGTCCCTCAATGCAAGACTTAAAATGATGTGCAGTTTATTACTTCCTACCAGAGCTGCCCATTGCATGACATGGCTGTTCATGGGGCACTGAAATGCATCTCTGCTTTCCCCTTGACAGGAGAAAGAGAGGTGAATTCAACTGACAGGCTGTTGCAGTTTCACTCCTAAGGAAGAATAAATTCAGGCAAAGCCGAAGGCAACATACTTTTATATTTCCAACAGGTGGAGTTCTTCTTTAAACAGGTCTTGCCCTGAGCACATGACTTAAATGTCATCTCGCAGATTTATCTCTGGACTCCCCCGTGCCCTTCTGCTTTAGGCTAGGTACAAAGATTTCTGCCATTTCTGTTTTATGAATCAGCACTTCTTACGTCACTAACTTGCTATAACAAATGTGAGGTGGCACCTTTGTCTGGTGAACTGGTGTCTACAATGAGGGAAAGTTGAGAGCTTCACTTCAGTGGGAACAGTTTACAGTGACCCCATGCATTTAATGTAGGAGTTTGCTTTGTTCCTAGTTCCTAGCTATTGCTTTACCTTTGGTTACACCCTACATGAGGGAGACAAGACTTCCAAAGCGTGGCTGGGTGTGGAGATGCTAGAGCTCTCCCATGCACCATCTTCCAGGGTAGAGAGCAGTGCTTACACACCCCAGTGTTCACTTCAATTCTGCCCTCTGGGCTTGCCCCTTGCATCCCCAATTTTGTTTTCTCTTTTAGGCTTTAATCTCCTTTAATTTATTCTCCCTTCCCTTGTCCCAAGTGTATTCCTTGTTGCTTCTGCCTTATTCCCCTGAGTCCTTTGCCCCTTGCTTCTCTCCCTCCAAGAGAAAGAAGTGCTGCCAGTGCCCACCATCTCTTCACACTCCCTCAGGCCTCTCAGTCTTCTCCCATCCTCAGTGTCTTTTTCTTGCCCTGCCTCATCTCAGGGTGGCCAAAGGACGAGGGACACATCCTGCTGGGGGAATGAAGTCCTGGGAACAGGAATGGAAAGAAGGAACCTAGAAAGGGGGTCGAGGTCCAGAATTTGGCTGGGGATTAGAAGTGCAGGAGGAGACCCCACAATGGAGCAGCTGGAGTGGCAAAAGGGGGTCAGGACTGGAGCTGCTGCAGAGCAGGCAGGGAATGACACTAGGCGTGCAGCCAAGTGCTATAGGGTCGCGGCTGCCGGTCAGCTTGTGCACAGACCCACGGACGTACTCATAGCCCCAATTTTTCAGCAGAACCTGGGGCTGACCCAGCCCGAACATAGCAGGCCCCATAAACTGGAAGATCCCCAGTAACCCAGGCGCTACACTCCCCCCATCTGTAACCCGACTGCTGCCAGCAAAGGGCGAACGTGTGAGATGTTGCACCGGCTCATACGGATTAGTGCTGCAGCGCTCAACGTTTGCAGGCCTAGCTAATTGGGGGCTGATTTGAGGGGTGCAGGGCCAGCTGCCATTTGCCGTACTTTATCCTGCTGACTTCAGTGCAGCTGCCACTTTCCCTCAGCAACGCACCTGGCCACAAGTTTCTAGTAATTTCTGCTTCTCCGCTACTTTTTTGTCTGTAAGAATTGATGGCTGAGACCTGACTTCCATTTGCACTGGATCTGAAGGGTAGCACTTCAGGGTCGCCCCCCCACCCCGCTCTGCCTCCTTCAGGGTCTGCAGAAGCTTGGAGCAAAGTCCCTGCACCGCACAGATGCTGTCTGAGGGGAAGGCGAGGCTGCCAGTGGTGCTGAGCACCTGCTGCTACGTTTGAGGCAAGGGGAGCTGTGAGTGCTCAGCCCCTTTGCGAGCCAGGTGAGGCACGCGAGTACAGCGCCTGGGCCCCTCCCCACAGCACGACAAGAACGGTCCCCACTGCGACTCTCAGCGCTGGGGCACGCGTGATTGACAGCTCCCCCACCTCACCGGCCTCCCAGCCCTCCAATCAGCCAGCAGAGAAAAAAAGAAAAAGAAAAAGAAAAAAGACCCTCCCCCCCCGCGCACTGGCCGGGGCCGCACAAGGTCAAGTCGAACACGGGACACATTTGCATGACCCAATGGGGCGGCCGCATGCAAATGAGGGAGGAGGCGGTTGGCTGGGTGTTGGCAGGAGAAGTCCCGCGGGCCGCCCCGCTCCCTCAGAGCCGGCGCCGCGGCGCGAGGTGAGCGATGACGCTGGAGGAGCCGGGCGGACCGCGCCGCAGCCGGGTAATGGAAACATTCCAACATGGACCAAAACCAAAAGCTCATATCAGGGCTTCAGTCATTGGCAGCCTGAGACTCTATCTAGCATAGTCTCTGAAAACTGGAAGTTCAGTCCTGGATCCCAAACCCCCATCAGATCCAAAGATTTTTTTTTCAGTTTTGCCTTTTCCTTACTACTTCCCATCTCACTGGAATATTATTAGGAGTAGTTAATTAATATTTGGACAGTGCTTTAAATATATACAGCACTGCAGACCAGATATTTGTGAAGCCTCCGGGCTGTGCTTGGAGTAAGATACTGTCCAGCCACTTCACGCTGCTGCAGGCCTTCTGCTGCGAGAACGACATCAGCATCCTGCGCGTCAGCAACCCCGCGCGCCTCGCCGAGCTGCTGCGCCTCCCGCCGCCCGGCGCCGGGCCCGACCCGCCCGCCGACCTGCACTGCGTGCTCGTCACGGTAGGTAGCGCACGGCCAGGGAAGGGAAGGGGTCCACTTGCGGGGGCGGGGTCCCCAGGGGCCCTGCGCCCGCCCCGACCTGCTCTGTGTGTGCGTGCGCGCGTGCACACATGTCTGCACGGTGTGACTTCCTGGTTCACCTGCAACGTGTGTGTGCCTGGTTAGTCTGCAAGGGGTGTGCGTGCGTGCGTATATGCGCGTGTCTACCTGGTTAGTCTGCAAGGTGTGCCTGCGTGTGGCTACCTGGATCACCTGCAAGGTGTGTGCACATGTGTATGCGTGTGTGTACCTGGTTAGTCTGTGCGTGTGTATATGCATGTGTCTACCTGGTTAGTCTGCAAGGTGTGTCTACCTGATTCACCTGCAAGGTGTGCATGCGTATGTGTGTGTGTACCTGGTTAGCCCGCAAGGTGCGTGTGTGTATGCATGCAGACTAACCAGGTAGACGCATGCAAGGCGCGTGTGTGTGTGCGCATCTCTACCTGGTTAGTCTGCAAGGCGTGTGTGTGCACGCGTGTCTACCTGGTTAGTCAGCAAAGTGCTAGTTTCTCCTGCCTCTGCCAGTCCCCTGCGTAGCCACCCAAGTGACTGCCCTCTCCAGCTGGCAGCAGAAGCACAGGAGACTTGCCAGCACAGAGACACTTTGCTGGTGCTGGTGCTGCTGCTTCAGCAGGGGGCCCATTCCCGCTCTTCGCCTGAGTACAGCTGGGTTTGCCTTCAACGCAACCTTCAGATTGGGTTTCCAACAGGCTCCAGACTTTAGGAGTTTCAGCCTGGAAAGGTTTCAGCTCGGCCCACTTTAAACTTGGATCTGAGTTTGGATTTGCAGCTGGGATTTTGGATCAGGCCCCTTTGCACTTGGGACTGAGGTGCCCTTTCCTCTACTTACGCTATTTCCTGTACCAAGGACTTGCATCAGAGCTGCTCCCGATTTGATTATAGAGTTTTTTTCCCACTTTTATGGACATGTTCAAACATGTTAGATCCTGTCAGCAGCAGGAGTGAGCCCTGTGAGTCACCTTGTTAGGGCAGCTGGGGTATTTATATTCATCTTTCCTCATTACTGGATTAGATAAGCAGGTTGGATTGCTTTTGGCAGAAAAGGGTAGGCCAGGAGGAACTTTCTTTAAGGGTTTTGGGGAGGATTACTTTAAAGGTGCTAAATGATGTGATAATAATACTTCAAGTCAAGCTATTTTATAAACTGAAAGCTAGTTGTGGACAAAAACAGGGGAATTGCTCCAATTCTGTTGGGACAGGGTAAAACATATTTAAAAAGTAAAGTTCCTATTTTGAAATTTCTTCTTAAGGAAAAAAAAAAGCAAGTTCTAAAGAGTCCTGTTCCAGCCAAATTACATCGCAGACAAAGCAGTGAATGTTCCTTTAAAAGTTCTTGGCCTGCAGAGGGAGACAGCTTTAGATGCAATACTTGAGAACTGTGCATCACACCTAAAGGAAGCTGGTAAAAAGAATAGAGCTACAATAGCCTGAGATGGATATTGCAACATTCATTGAAATCAGGGGGATTTTTGTACAAAAAGATACGGCAGTCAATAACCCATGACATACAATCTTGCATTTCAGTTAAGAGACCAGGTTCTGTGTGAAGTGTATTTGTGCACACGTATGAGAGAAGCCCGATTTAATGAATAGACAATAGAATTAAAACAGAACTTAAAGACACAAGAAGGATGGCAGCATCTACCACAAGAGTTTAAAATACTCTGACCCTCAACCACAGCGATATCATGAAACCCTTAAAATCCTTATTCAGGTTTTAAATATTATATTCCTGCATACAGATAGGACTGCAAGAAACCTGTAAAAGGCTTGAGGAGACTTCACCTGTTGCAAACTAAAATGAATTCAAGGAAAGAGGGTAGTTTTAGGATTGGATGTGAATAGTTGCATTACAATAGCGCTCTTTATTTAATTATTTTTACACTAATCATTTGAAACCAGTCACAGTTTTTTGTTTTAAAATCAACTCTGTCTTTTCCAGAACCCCTATGCTTCTCAGTGGAAGGATCCAGCACTGAGTCAGCTAATGTGCTTTTGTCGTGAAAGTCGCTACATGGATCAGTGGGTTCCAGTGGTTAATCTCCCTGACCGGTGATGGCATTTGGATGTAAACGAACTGAACAAAATTGCACTGAAGTTCTAAAATACTTTAGCAGTTGCTCAGGAAGTAACTCCCTACCCTGACACAAGGATTACAAAAAACAAAACAAGTTGATGTCAAGTGGGTTAGACTGAAGTTGAACTACACGTTGTGTGGGACAGAAGAAGTGGACTCTGCAGTGAAAAAGTGATGGGAAAGGAAGTGGAAGCTGAAAGCGTATTAAACAAGCGTCATGAAAACTAAAAATAGCAAGAAGATGTAAGGTGCTGTATGCTTGAGTTACTTGCAGACTATGCCAAATACCTTTGAGTTTCACGAGTGCAACTTGTAGTTTCTCATTTAAAACACCTCTAGCGTGACAAGAGCAAAAAGGTTTAATCAAAACATTTAAATCCATTTTATCGTATTTTGGAATGTTGATTTTCAAGGTTTTTATTCTAAGATCTACTAAGTTATTTTATGATATTGATGGAGGATTTATTTATGCTATGAACTTCAGAACTGGAATACCCTTAAACAGTTGGTCTACAACTCCACCCCTTGTTTTAATAAAATATAATTGTTTGAAACTGGATGGTGTTTCTTTTACTGAAATAAAATTTAAAAACCTCAAACTCCTAGCGTTAAGTTCTATTTTCTTGGCAGATTCAATACTCTGCAATGCTGTGGGACTTTTATGGGCAAGATGCATATGGAGGGAGGTTCAAAACCCAAGCTTTAATAGGTTACACGTTTTTACAGATGTAAAATGTACATGAGGCTTCTCAGTATGAGGTCTTCCAGAACACCAAAATGTGCTAAGTACTTTGTGGTACAAAATCAACAGGCTCAGGGAGGTGGCATTTTCAAAAGTACCTACGTTATTTGGAAGCCTCAGCCCTATTGAAAAACAATGGGATTTACACACATTTGAAAATTCCTCAAAGGTTCTTACTCTGCCAATCTAATATGAGGCTTTGATCCTCTTTATCTGATGCAATATGCAACCTAATTACTTGCAAATACTTCTGCCCACCCCTGGGACTCTTTCTTTTGATCAGATTTACTCCTTAAAGTGAAAAGCCACAGCAAGGAATAGTGCTTAGGGTGAAGTGGTCATGGATACGTGAGCAAAGGTTCCTCTCTGTAAGAAAATTTCAGTCCTTGAGGAAAAAAGCTTTGAACATGCTGGTGTTCTTGGACTACTACATTTGTGAAAGGGTGTAGAACTCCACAGACTCTAAAGATGAACAGTGTCACCAGCACCTTTTTATGACAAAACATTTCAGTCTTCTTTTTCATTCTTCTGCTGGCCCAATCTGGAGAAGCCTTCCAGGTGCTAGACTGTCATCTTTCTCAACAACTTTAGAATCTCCTCTGTCTTCATTTATAGGGGTATTGGTTGGCTTTCCATCCACTCTGCATTCACCCTTCGGCACTTCGTGATCTAAGGCAGCGTTTTTCAACCCCGATGACCCAAAAGTGGGTAGCAAGACTATACGCAAGGGTCATGAACAAGCTTTAACAATGGATTGATTCTCCTTTAAAGAAGAAAAACATTTCGCCGGCTGGCAGAGTTCTAGCCTGCAAGGGGCTGATTGGGCTCCCCTTGTCCTGTGCACTGGGGAGCTTGGGGGTGGCGGGCGCTGGGTAGCTCCAGCCCTGGACAGCCCTGTCCAACCACACAGCAGCCATGGCAGTATTTCCTGTGTCTCAGAGCTGCAGCTGCTGCAACCCCTGCTGTCATTTAGACCCAGCCTACATGTGGGGACCTACAGAAAAGTCTGGCTCAATGATGCTGCCCTGGTTAGAGGTTTGAAAGACAGATAGAGTTGTCCACAGTAATCAAGAGAAGACTAGGCATGGGAAACCTGGGGGGACTTAGGAGAGAAAGATTGAGGTCTCTGTTTTGGCCACAGTGAGCTTAAGCTGATGGCTGCTCATCCAGAAGAGGAAGTCAGAAAAAAGCTGAGGTTTTAGTTTGGATAGGAGAAGACAGGTCTGAAGTCATGAGGTAGGTATGTGAGTCATCAGCCTAGAGCCGGTAATCAAAATTGTGTTTACAGAGAAGATTACTGGAGAACAGATGTAGGAGAAGAGAAATTTGTGAAGAACAGAGCTTACTGGATGCACCTCCAGAAAGCTGAAGAGATGAGGATCTTGCAAAACACATATTGAAGCAGTGATTGGAAAGCCAGAAGAACCACCAAGGAGGACAAGATTGCATAAAGTGCACGTGTGTGTAAAAGGCAGCTGACAGGTTGAGGAAGAGGATGGAGTCTTGGTTCTGGCCTTTGACCTCTGTGACATCACTAGAGGCTTTGACAAAAGCAGTTCCAACTGAGTGTAGAGGGCAGCTGCTGGTTTGGGGGTAGGGCTGATCTAGGATGGATTTGGAATCGGGGAATTCCAGACAGCAATTCTAGACCTCCACCAGTGAGCATTGAGATGCAAAAGAGAGGAGACAGAGTGGGAGGTGAAGACCCCAGTGGGTTCAAGCTGCTGGGCTGCACATTGGCTATTGGATTGGTATTGGCCGATATGGCTGGTTAATAATTGGCCATCAGTATCTACCAAAAAAATCTGCACCCCTAGCAAAAGGAATAATGGTCAGTTTATGTTCGCTATCCAGGCTGTGGGAAAAGCAGAATATCACAGCAGAAATAATGAAGAGACAATTAGATCAGGTTAACTCTTGAGCACTGTTAGCTGCACAAGAAGGGAATTTATTGAAAACATTATTTTCAACTTGATTTTTAACTCTTGCTTTATATTCTAATCTCCTTCCCTACTATGACATGCAAATTGACTACCAGCACTTTAAATGCACGCTGTAGGCTTAATATGTTAGACATTTCTCCAACTCACACCCATCTCGAAAGTCTCTTCCTGTTGTGCAAGTAGTAAATTAGAAGCAAAAATGCAAGCAGGAAACAATTTAAATCTATTTGCATATAAAATGTGTAATTTGTTTGCTAGATATTTTATGCTCTTGCCACCCAGATTTTCTTCCTTTTCTTGCTTATTCTTAAGTCAGAAAAGTAGATAGGTAATGACTGGTGGAATTCGAGCTGCTTGGAATTTTTTCAATAAAGCAAAGTTTCATTAAAAATGCCAGCTTATTGAGGGCCCCAAATTTTTCATTTGAAACATCTCAGATTTGATGAGCATTCATTGGAGCCTTGGTGGATGTACCCAGGGGCAGGGATCCCTGAAAACTCACTCAAGTTTCTCAGTAAAATTGACACGTTTGTCAGTTTCATCTGTCATTGGCTATCAAACTGGCAAGCATGTCAAATTTACTAATTAGATTCAGGATTCAGACTGCTTCCAGTTTGCTAGAGATTTCAGAAAATACGCCTAGGACTGAACCAAACAGGTCTGCAAAATAGCCCTCAAATTGTTCTACAAACTTGACACTACTTTCCAGCCAGCTGTGGTTGGACTTGGGATCTGGAGGGTAGGTTACATAACTATTTATCTGGAGGGACTAGCTTCACTTTATTCTGGTCATACACAAAATGCCTATAGAATCTAGTGTGAACAAAAATGTATCCTGCAGTGTTACAAGCAGGCAAATTCTAACACTAGTGTTTGTGTTTGTTTGTAGTGGAGACACGACAACACAGAAAAGAGTGCTAAGGAACCCTGGCATAATAGACACTGTGTACTAAAACACAGACATCACTGTGCCAAACTACTAATGACTGGTTTGGAGTATTTGGAGCCAGAGATCAACAATGATCACACAGTATGGGCACATGAACAGTACAAGAGCCTACACAGTAAAACAGAACAAATTTCAAAACTTAACACCCTGTAAAACCTGCAGCAACAAACATGAAGGAAGGGAGGGCAGAGGAGCAGGGCTGTTTTAATCCACTTTTAATTACTTTGCAGTCATGCTTTAAAAAAAATCACCTAAACTTACCTGTGTAATTTTAGTTGGAGTTATTCTTCACTTCCCTTTTAAGCCCAGTGTGCAGTGCTGCTAATGCTGAATGGCTGTTTTGTTCCAACTCTGCTGGAGGCTGCATTTCAGCAGAAAAAGGAGCATGAACTCCTTTGTGGCCTTCTTCACTCAACGGCACATATCACCCTAAACCGCTCTCAGGAAAGGTATTGTAACCCATCTGTGGCTACCTACTGTTTCACCGTTATACCACTTAGGGGCAACATACAGTGACTGAAATTTGTGGAGACAGAACATGGACCCTTCTATTCCAGAAACCTTGGTGTCTACTATGTGCATTAAAGGAGAACCTTTTATCCCTGGGCACTATGTGGCCTACAACACAATTGAGTATTTCAGATCCCATACTGTGCAGTAGTAGTAATGAGTTTCACTTAAGGTACATAGAAGTTAATTAAAAGATGCAAGGTTCAGACTAATTACTACAAACGTTTTTTCCTTTAAACAGTGTCAAGGAGTTACAAAGAGGCTTAGGCATTTGAGCAGAGCTAAGTTTCTAGATTACATCTAGAGGTTGGAGCATAGGGCTGAGGCACAACTAATGGCCATGATGCTCAAGCTTTTGGTCCCATGGGTCAGATGAGTAGTTCAGGGCCTGTCTGCAGGCTGGATCAAGTCCTGTGCTGCCTCCACCCAGCCCTGGATAGAGCTCCATGTGAGCACAAACCTGCCACCAAATTTTTGGACCTGTGGGAAGTCCCATGGGCTGGATGACAAGACACCAGGGACAAAATATTGCCCATGGGTCTGGGGGTTGAGCACCGCTTAGTTATGGGATCAATTTCTAGCTCCATTGGTGACTTACTATGTGACCATGGGCAACAGGACAACTACTGCAAGATCCTGAAGTCCTCCCATCTCTTGTTACAAAATGATCATATTTGTCCTACAGGGATGCTTTCTGCGGTTTAACTTGCGCATGTGAAACCCTTAGAGCAGATACAAGAATACTAAACAGGGACTCGTTTTGCAGTCTCACTGGAACTCGCCTTCATGCCAGCTTTGGTTTTTCAAAGTTGGTAGGAATCACCTCATGCCCAGGATGAACCCCCTCCCTCAGGCACCAAAAGATCTCTTTCACTTCCCCATGACTCATAAAGGCATTAAAAAGGTGCCTTAGGCAGGTACCTGGGAAAGGTGCTGTAACAAGCAACAGCCTGGTCAGCCCATATAAAGAACAAGTCTATGCAAAAACACCACAGAAGCAGGACTGCTAAAAGGGGTGACAACAAAAGGTTCTGGGTTAAATATTCATCCCACTGCATTACAAAGAATTTGCCATCGACTACAGCAGAGCCAGGAGTTTTGCATGTGTCCCTTTTCTTGACGTCCATTATTTTAATGGCTAAGAATAAGCATTAGCAAATGTCCATTTAGCAAGTTGCAGGAGCAGACCTGCCAAGGCAGCACTGAGTGCACAATATAACAACAGCCTGAAAACAGACATTTGGGGCTCTGCACGTACAGTTAAGTAGCATCATCTAACATTGGGTCCAACTGGGCCACAAGGAATTTCACTGGCACAGGGCTTCCCCACAGGTTGCTGGCTATGGGCCACACTTGGGAATGCTATTTTATTCAGATTTATATTATGCCAGTAATCTGAGAGCCCTGTTGTCATCAGGGTCTTGTCCTGCGCTCACTGATGTCAAGA